CCTGACTGCTCCTTGCCTTCATTCCTTTCTGACATCATTCCTTCACCATCTACAACAAAACCAGCCGACTGGTCCCACAGTCCTAGACATGAAGTCAGACAGATGTATGACACCTACCTGCAATGCCTTCTGCATATACAGTATGCAGTCTTGAAACAGTTAATGTACCCATTGCACAGCATATGTAGAGCTATTTGATCAGTAAACAGGCCAGCAGGGGAAGAGAAAACCCTTTTTTGAGAAAACTCTCAACCCTAACCTTCAGAGCAGCCCAGATTAAATTCAAACAGCTGTACCTAATTTTCCATTATTTTCAAATTGTTTTCCTAAATTAGGTGTTCAAATCCAGTATTATTTATGTGGCCAACAAGAAATTAATCTCTGTATTCAAGTTCAACATCTTCCTCACAAATTCATCCAGCCTAGAAGTTATTTACACTAGCTAGTAGAGGTTCAAGAAAACCTAAATAAAGAATCATGAACTTTGTTTTTCCGTATGCTAGCATCTGTACCATGGGCATTAGAGGTCACTCTCACTCACAGGGGCAGCTTTTGACTTGCTACTAGGGTGTATACTTTCTGAATGAATCTTGTGTAGCACAAGTAATTAATGTACCAAAGTTTATGAACTACTCATTTGAATAGTACATCTGTTCAACAGTTTTACTCAGAAAAGTGAAACCTGACAGCTTCAAAAGGTGAAAATACAAGGAAGGCAATAGCACTAATGAAAGAAAATAAAAACTAAAGAAAAGTAGCAGAAGTTCATCATAAAGAAGGAAGACTTGAATAGATATGACAGGAAAATACTTAGACTAAGGAATTTCAAAGGAAATCTGGCACCTGAATCCTCCATCACTTCAATGGAACTCTAATTCCTTCAGTTTCCCACAGAAAATGTGTGCTAAAAAGAAGGAAATGTTGAATCTAAAATCCTGAAAAGAAGGAGCACACTCTTTTTTTAAGTGAATGTCCTAATTATCCTAACATTTCATTTTGGTTTGCAGTGAGGTCTCTGTGTGTGTGTGTGTGTGTGTGTGTGTGTGTATCCTTCTCCAGTTAAGTTCATTATTAATGACTGTTTATGAAGATAAAAATAGGATAGTACTGCATAAGACATACCTGGTTTTTCAGTCTTATTTCTTGAATGTCCCTTTCCAATCCATTATATGAATATTGACTACTTCCTGACACAACCTCTGATGTAAGTTATAAAGTGTAAAATTATTTCTGCTTGTTGTGAGTGACTAAACCATGGTCACAGAATGCAGTTAAATCATGGAAGAGGAAAGAGAGCTTAACATTTTCCAATATATTTTCAAAATAGTCTCTTAGAATGGAGAACTATTTCTCACAGCTCTTTTTTTCTAGCTCTTCAAGTCATTTTGTGACAATGAAAGCGTTATAAAAGAGGGACAGAGTCTTCCCAGGAACTAAGACAGCCAGGAAAATGAAGTATGTTAGTTTCATTGTTTTTCAGTCTTTGAAAGCAATCACAAGAAAAAAATGTGCATGCAGAATTACTGAAAGAAAAAAGCAGATGCAAATAAGTATCTGATTAAAGAATGAAGTATTGAAATTTAACAATTTTAGAGAAATGGCCCGAGGAGCTGAACAAAATTTATGCCATTTCTTAGGTGAAATTAGTTTAAAAGCCAAATTATCCATAATCATAGTGTACTGTACATAACATAAAAAGTACGCTAAATTGCTTTCTCAAATATTGTTGAATAAAATATGAAACTATAATAGTAACATGCTTCCAAAGTGCATATACAGAATTTTAATATCTCAAATTTGATTGCTATCAAAGGGGTTTAACACTGCAGGCAGCTTTTTTTGAAAATGTTTCTCTAACAGTGTATACATTTATTGAATATATTTTATCTTTTCTTTGTAAGTGCTTGGGAGGGTTATTACATACATGTATTTTACACTAAAGCAAAGTCAGAATGCAAAATTAAATAGCTATTCATAGACATCTCAGTAAAAAGGGAAAAGAGATGAACATGGAACAAGTGGCAAGACAGCTTTAAAGTATAGAAGTTTCTAAATACAAAACTTGTGCTGAAATGTGGAGAGAGAGATTGAAAAAAACTGGGTTCAGCTAACTGCCCTGTTTACTGTTCTTTTTTGATGCTACACCAAGTCATTCACAACAGACAGGCTTACTGACCACCTGGAACATCAGCTAAGCCATAAACTGCAATGACTGGAGGTTGAGTGCAAAATGAGATCACAGCTTCAGCATTAGAACCGAGTGAAGTAATGCAGTCTGTGTTACTGGGAAGCAGTACCAAGCAGTCCAGAAGATTTATGTTGCTACTGTGAAGCCAAGGCAGAAAAAAAGGATGGTCTACCATGAGTAACAATTTCACAGCATAGCTAGTATTACTTTTTTGTAAAAGTATGATGGAAAAGGGATTCCAAGATTCTCAGCCTATCTCATTATTTCTGAATCTCTTCCTTCAGTTTTTAGAGTTAGTGAAGAAAACCAAATCATTAATTAGCAGCAAGCATGGTTTTTCCACAGGTGTAAGTGTTGTTCAAAATGATCTAGCAATCATACTCTAACAAAGAATATTTGATTCCAACATGTTTTAAAAGTATTTTTAATTTGTTATAGGAAACAGTGGTAGAGCAGTAACACCTGCATCTAATCCACACTTCATCTACCGTTAAGAGTAGGGAAAAAGAAGCACAGTCTTTCCATAAAAATGGTTCTTAACATGATTCCTTTGTCCCTGACTTGCGAGTGAGACCAGGTGCAAAAAAAGCATTCATTCACAAGTCTTGGGGCCTCCCAACAAGGAAGACTGGGCTGCAGAATCCTCAGAGCAAAATATTTACACCATTAAAATATTCAAGATATAAAATATTAACTAGTGGAAAGTACAATTTATAAAGAATGCTTTGCTGCTGCAATAATTCTGTCAAGTTGTTGCTCTGTCAGTTTTACTATATACATGAATTGGATTCTTTTGTACAGTTTCTCACTGCTTCTGTGAAAAAAATAAATATAATCTCATGACAACAGTTACAACTTTAATATATGCCTATGTAAAATGTACATACAGAAAACAATATGATGTCCAGATCGAGTCTTACATTTTCTTTTTCTTCTAAATCTTTCTATCTGTATCACCCAGAAATATTGTTGAGGCATAGTAAGATTCAACGGGAGAAAACAAACAAAAACAGTTCCTTCCTCGGAACAGCAAGGTCTGCAATATCCTTTACAAAAAAAGGTTTGGCAAGTACTTCTTCATGAAAATCACAGTACATGGTAATTTTTTGAATGAAATTGAAAATAAGTCACCCTCATTTAATTTTTCTAAATCAGATCTTTAATCTGAGATAGATACCATTTCTTTAAAGAAAATTGTATGGCTTATTCTGATATCTACAGTAACATGAAATGGATGTTCACACATATATTTCTGTGGCATACTAGCAAGGAAGATTATTTTACTTGGTAAATAATTTAAGATATGAATAATTGATCTGTGTGCTTTGCAATTAGAAAGCATATCTGAAAAGTAATCTATAGAAATTATTATTAGGAAAAATATTTAAATATCCTGTGTAAATACAGAAATCTACCTACCTCCTATACGTCAGCAATGAATAACTTGTAAGTTTGTATGGTAAACCCAAGCTTTACAATAACACTAGATAAATAGAATAAATCAATTGCTATCATATACAAGTCATATATAAATTTTGGTATAATTACGACACTAAGGGCAATTCAATCCTTTCCTATCCTATCTCAGATCAGATGTGACCAGCAATGTCATTTAAAATTTAATTGAGAAAATAAAATCAAATACTTCTATTCTTTCCAGTTTCTTCCCGTTTATAGTTTCTAGTTTTCATTGTCACATTTTAAATTATCAGGTACAACATGGGAAAATACAGAAAACAGTAGTCTGCAACAGAAAAAACTAGCTTAGAAAAAAACAGTTCAAAGAACTTGCAAGTCTGCAGAGAAAGATAAGCATATCTAGCAGCAAATAATTGTGAAGTCTATTTTTGTTTTCTGCTTATTTAGCAAAGACAAAAGCAGCCATAAGTGCTTAACTAATTTATTTTTGGAATTTCTTACCCCTTCCTTTTTTCCTTAACTGATTCTTCAATCTAGCAAAATTTTATCTTAAAAATAAATGTCTTAGAAATTACACGTTTTTGCTTCCTGGTACTTCAGGCTTTAGGAAACTGACTTGTTGCAGGATAAATTGATAAAATAAGTATTGATAATAGTTTAAATATATTTGAAAGATTACCTTTCAAGTGTATTCATTTGCATTTATTACAAAAACATACAATTTCTCATAAAAAAAAAACTTTAAAAGAAATCATTCATTTAAATTTAGTTAAGAACTTTAACAATTGATGCTTTTCTACCTAGTATTTCATACACATTTTTATAGTGGTGTTGCTCATCTTGACAGTTCCAAAATACAACTATAGTTACTTGGATTTAGTCTCTTAATTGAAAGTATTTCCTAGGAATACATCAAGACTACATTACTACATGGGCTCATTTACCCTATTTATATAGTATTTGTAGCATCTATTACGAGGTCAGGTTGCAGCCCTCTTATTTCTTTTACACATAATCATCACTTTGGCATCACACATATTTGTGCTTTGATGGTAAGATATTATTTATAAAATAAATCATATTTCAAAAGCCCAAGAAAATTTTTGCAGGGGTGAGGAAAAAATAATTGTCAAAAATGAACAACACACACTTCAGAGGAACTTTACTGGATGCACCTTTGATTATTAATTACTTACTTATTTATTTTAAGTAGAACAAACAAACTTCATTGACATGGGGCTAATTCTTGTTTCCACAAGAAACCAGATTCAACACATCAACTGATGAGTTGCACTCATCAAAACATGGAATTTTATACACATTCTAGATTTCAGGGACCATAAAGGACCACATCTTGTAAAAAATATAAAGTAGAACTCAAGAGATTACACACCTCGTGGTTGTTTAAGCAGAAGACGGAAAACAGATTCCTTACTGGTCGGCTTGGTTAGGGCAGATGCACCACGATAACAAATGGACTGCTCCTGATCTAAAAAAGAAAAGAAAAATTAAGAAATCATTCAGGGAAACTCATTTAAAAGTAAAAATTGATTGAACAATTTCCCTAACAAAAGACTTTCATAGTCAGAGGCTTTAAGGAATACATTCTTAAATGGGAACACATGGGCCTTTTTTTTTTCCCCCCTTTGCTTAAATGTTCTCTCAGTATTTTCCTCATTGTGGTGAAGATATATATAGATAGAGTATGGAGATCTTCTTTAATAGAATTAAAATAAAATAACACAATATCAAGAAAAAACAATGTTTAAAATATTTTCAATTAAATAATATCTAGAGATTACAAATAAACTGAGATAAAATTCAAATGGGCAAGAAGTCCATGGTGATATGAAACGTAACAGAAACCTTTAGAGAAACAGGTTCAGGACCAGCAGTACTGCAACACTGGCAGACAAGAATTGCTTTCTTGATGACAAGTTACCATATCAACTAACAGTTTACTTCATAGAGACAGAGGATTTTGACATTATTTTGATTGTTTTCACTGATTACTGTCACTGTTCTGGATAAATGAAAAATGAGATGGGAAAAACTGGTTTTTATAAATGAGTTTTGGAGCTGTTCAAGCAGCCAAAGATGTCTTGCTAAAAGAATTGACACTTGCAGAAAATGCCTTCTAGGAAATACATCTAGCAGTTAACTCCAAGAATCGGAGCCCAATAGATAGACTATTTCTGAATAATATGTCATATTAAAGAGTAGTAGCACTGAATGATGAACTGCTGACAGGATGATATGAAGCACAGGAATGCATCAAGCAGCCAGGGGAAGACTGTTATTTGGGGTTACACAACAACGTTAAAATATCTTTAAGGAACAGAACAATGAGCAAAAATGTCCAGGAAGGCAAATAAAAGATCTCCTGAAAATATAAAACTTCTTACTTCTTGTGAGAAGAGAAACAGCCTCAAAATTATTTCACCTCAGGACAAAGTTTCATGTTTTGGAAACCAGCTTAGAGGTTTAAAATGAAATTTATTATAGGGAAATACTTAAAGAATTTAAGTGACCTTTCCAAATATTAAAGGATGGGTGCATAAGAAAATCCTACACACCCATTTTAATATATCAATAAAACAACTATATTGCCATCTTTCATGCCCTGAGATAACACAGCGGCAGAAACAGGGCTACTGTGAGAGCTTTCCCTATAAAGCTAATTATTCTGAAGGAATCCTTTTCTGTCTTTTTCTCTGTGATGCAAACAAGATTAATACTGTGAATTTCCCCTACTAGAAGAGTCTTCCAAAGTTTAAAATATCTGTAATTTATTTTTTCTTTATATCTGTCTGCATAGTCAGCTAAAAAGTAATTTTCACAGAACCACCTAACTAATCTCCGGAAATATATTTTTTTTCTCTGAAAAATAATTTCACTGTATAAAATTAAAAGCACTAGGTTATGTTTCATGATGTTTCAAAAATGCATTTACATATTTGCACGTCAATTTTTAAATTGGTAGCTAACACCATGGTTTGAATTGTGCCCAAATCAGCATAAAGCGATGTTAGCATTTTTATTCTAAACTGATCATCCACATTCAAAACTGACTTGAAAAAAATAGATTTCTTCACATTTGTATTACTTCATTCTAGCAGACTTAAGTGTATGCAATAATACTTATGTCCAGCGTATTTTGCCTGAAATAAAAATAACTATTAGCAGACTTGCCTTTGAGTATATACTTCAGTTACGTAATAAAGTCAGAGAAAGCTGTTTGAAAACATTTTGCAATTCACATTTGAAAAATGGCAATCCTAGTTTAGAAATCTTTGTGTTTAAAAAGACATAGCCAAGCTACTGTGCATGCAACCTACCTTGGAAATAAGGTAAGTTTTAATAATCAACAGTATGAGACAGCTATTCTAATATAACTGCACACACACTCTTATCAAAAGCAATCTTAGACACTGACACAGGTATCAGTTTTGATAACACAGGTAACACTGGATTCCAGAAAAGTGGTTTACTTCCCTTGTCTGATTCCTAGTTACCGCTGTAGCCTTAAATGCTTGTTTGATCATGGGCCTTCAAACTTTGAAGTGAGTATCCCCTAAAAAAAAGTTGCATTTTTTTTCCTGAAAACATTCATTCCTTTAACATTCTTAATGTAGTTATGAATGCTTCTGTGAACAAGAGCTGCAGATTTAAGCCACAGATATGTAACTAAATCCCAGGCAGAAAGCTTATGGCTACCAAATTCAGTAAGAAAATACCAAGTCTTAAGAGGTCCAGGAGTCCATCACAAATTATCAAATGGTGAGTGTTTTTACTTGCTCTATAATTATCCAAAATAAAGGGCCGTTTGTGCTACAATATCAGTCAAAATTCACAGAAAGAAACATTTATGAGGAATAATGCTCTTGGGTTTGACAAAGCTTCAGAAATGAAATTGACAGCTTCAGAAATGTTCCAGATATGACAATTCCCAATTAATTTATATTTTAATTCCTGAACTATGCAATTCTAAACATAATTTCACATCTATCTAGGGCAAAAGCCTATTGAATGTTACTTGAAAACAGTAACATTCTTCTTTAAAGCATTAAGCAAATCTATAAATGTTGATGATATTCATTGCTTGTACAGTTAAATTGAGATGCTCTGTTTTCATTGTTGCCACTTTTAATTCTCTTAAGAAGCACCACATGGGCTGAAACACAATTTGTAAAGATCAAGATCAATCAAACATTTCATTCTACCTTTTGACTTGCTACTTTCCGTCAATTTCACTGTTCTGCCCTCTCCTTGGCCTCGCGTGACCAGCAATGAGTGTGTCGAGTCCAGCACAAGGTTAAATAAAGGAAAGCATTCCCGTACCTTGTTTAACGCTAAAATATCAGCTGAGAAGTTTCAAAATGGTAGTACCTTGTTTTTTATACTACTAAACCTACAGTTTCAAGTACTGTTCACAGACACAGGTTCAAAAACTCCTGTGAATTTGAGTTACCTGCTGACAGGGTCATTTCTACTCTTTGGATTAACATTTTTCAGGAAAACAAAACAGGTTTTAAGAATGACTAGGCTGTCACTCTCTCTTAAGTGATCTTAATTAAGACCACTTTATATTTCAGACTAAAATGTTTGTGTTTAATTAACTCAGATGGTAGGTTGTTACTGTTATGTCTGAAGTATTATTACTGTCATTCCTAACAAGGTTATACTTCCCAACTGTGTTTTTCACTGCTTTGAGAGATCCTAGCACAAAAATAGGCTCTTCGTGTCAAAACACATTGAAATAAAGGGTGGATCATCACAGCATGAGTAAAAGATCTGGTCTTCCCCATAACTTAGGGCTGTAAATTGTCCTGAAACAATGTTCCGTTTTAGACATCTCATTAACAATCTGATACAAGCAAAATAAACAGGGTGGGGGAAAAAGGAAATTTATTGAAGAGCAAGTTCAGGACTAACAGTTTAGTTCTTGCTAGGAAAGGAAGCATAGTAGAAGTAATGTATTCATATTAAGATAACTTTCTCACCATATTGACTAGCCTTGTGGAATGACAAATTCATTCTTAATGTTGAAAAAACCCAAGTTAATTAGCTTTTAATGTACACTGAGCTAACATATCTGCAGTTCTATGGTACCTACAATATTGGAGTTAGTATGTTGAAAAACTATTTTCTTCCTTTCCAGATACAACGTCTTGACAACATGTAAGTTCAACCAATTATATAGGGCATTATGGAAATTGTTTTCTGGGATATGTAAGGGCCACAAATACTAAGCTGAACTTTTGCATCCATGAGATTGCTTGTAAGACTAGATTTCTCTTCCTCTGGAAAGAAAGAAATAGGAATTACAGTAAACATTCCTAGAGAGAGCAAATTGTAGCATCCACAACCACTTTGAAGAAGAGCTTGAATGTGTAACTCAACTATCTTATTGCAATTAAAACCAAGCAAACCTTACTTACAGATCACCAGCAGCAATTGCATTAGAAAATTAACATTACATATTAAGTGATTGATTAACAAATTCAAGACAGCTTTTAAAGAACAAGTATGGTTTTACTTACATAAAGATCACAATATAAAATTTATTTCCTCAAATAAAAGTTTTCATAATTCCACAGATCACAGAAACATTAGATCACCACCATGTAGGGTCTACTGCTGTGTAAAGAAAAATGAAGACTGAAAACTTCTGATGCATAGAAACCAACATCAGTCTTGCACTGTCTTTATTTCTGAAAATCTCCCTGGGACAAGTTAATGCTCTGTAGTTAGAAAGATGACTATGTTTTCACTAAAATACTTAATGCAGCTTCTGCTAATGTCTCACAGAACATCACATTTCACTAGGTTTTAGTACCCATATTTAAGGTCTATAAATAATTTTTGATGAAATAGCATTGTGGAGAAGTTTGATTGTTCTTTTCCACTATTCTGTGAATAACACATGAGACTAGCTTTTTTAAAAAAAATACTTAGTAGTATTAGAGTACTAAACTGTGCTATCCAGCATTAGATCTATGCTCAACAAGCCAAGCAGTTTGCTTCTCATAATTGCTCTTGTTTTGTACAAATCAGAATACCTGCCTTCAATTTACGTGAGAATAAAGTATGTTGCACTCCATGAGGTACAATGGGAACCTTCATATCACACATGTAATACACACCTGCACTTCAAAAGATTGTATAATCTGGTCAAATAGGGTGGGTTGCACAGCTAGTAATTCACAGTGCTTCTGTAAGTATCTGAGCCAGTATAAATGCAAAGGGTAGACGTAACGACAGGGGAAAAATACAAAGGGTTAACATTTTGGAAGGAAAATCGCATTACTAACAACGTAAAAGTTTACTGTATCTTCAGCTGCTCTAGGGATGATGAGTTGATGAACAAGAGCAATTCAAAAAAGAGGTATTCCAAAAATTTATTAAAGGTACCTCTGGACTGAAACTCTACCATTTGTCATGTTAGACACTTCCTGTAATTTACATTGCACTCTCTGTCATCATCCATGTCATCAATAAAGGTCTTGAAAAATATGAGCCCTAGTACTGACCCCCAGGGTACTATGCTCATTACCAGCCAGCAGTTGACTGTTAAGATGCTGATCACTGTCATTTGAGAGCAACAGTTTAGCCAAGTTTTCAACCCACTCAGCAGTTGGTTCATCAAGCCTAGACTTCCTTAGCTTCCAAACAAGAATGCTATAGGAAACAGTGACAAAGTCTTACTAAATCATGGTGTATTACATCCACTGCATTTGCATAATCAGTCATTTTCCATATAGAAGGCAATCGTTCATCAATCATGATTTGCAATTAACAAATCCATTTGACTATTTCTGATTACCTTCTTGACCTTGATGTGCTTAGAAATGGACTACAAGAGGATGTGCAATTCATGGGCTGCATACACTGCAAAAGGACATGTCCAATGATTCTGGCAGGGTCTGAGATGAGGCTGACCAAGAGATCACTCCCTGTCTTCCTTCAAGAAGAGAATAATATTGGCTTTCCCCAGTCATCAGAAACATCTGATCAGCATGAATTTCCACAGAGAAGAACCATAGCCTCACAATCACATTGGCCAACTCTTTTATCACTCTGTGTAAATTTCATCTGGCCTTGTGAATCTGAATGCATACAGCTGTTCTAAGCACTCCACAGCCTGTTGTTCCATCTTCCTGTCAAACCAAGTCAGTACACGCGGCTTTGGGAGCAAGTTTTGCTTGCAAAGACAAAGGTAAGAAAAACCATTGAGCACTTCAGCCTTTTCTGCACTGTCTGTAAGTAGACCTATCTGTGTTTTCTCTAAGCTTCCTACGCAACTAGCATACCTTTAGAACCTCTTCTAGTCAGCCTATACTTTCCATGTTATCTTCACACCTGATGGGTTTTGGCTTGATTTTTGCTAATTATGCACACGGTACTTTCATATTCCCCTTTTGTTACCTTTTCGTCCTTCCACCTTATCTAGGTGTAGTATAGGGAATACATTATTTTCACTGCTAGTAACAGGCCATGGGGCTCTATATTGAGTTAACAGTGCAAAGCATCATGGACTTGCCACAGCTTGTTTGGACTTGAGCTATTTTACCTGTAACAGCACATAGTTGAAGTACCAACCATTGCCTTATTTGTTTTTCAGCTTCAGCTTAGTGATGTATTATTTTGTGGTATTACCCTAAAGAAACCATACAACATATGGTGAAGACCTAACAAAGGTAAGGGGTCATCGTGGAACTAAGCCTAGGGACCAATAAGAAGCAAGCATAGCAACAGACCCTTTCAGAAACATAAAAATAACGCCAAGCAGATCCAAGACTGAGAAGGAAGAAACTGGCATTTTATCAACATTTCCTTCCCAGTGAAGAACCTAGGATGTTGATAACTCTCTCTGATAAATTACTGTGAAGAAATACAAGGTAGATATAAGAAGATTTGTGTATATCATTTAGCAGCAATTAGTATTAATTAGATAATTTGGACTATAAATACTAGTGGTCAGGGCCCTGAGTTCAGCAATGTATGCTAATTTATCTGTCCAGCCAATAACCATCCTTCTCTGATACTCTCTGTAACCCATTCTTCACACATAAGGCTGTATCTGCTTGTGCTCAAGATCTGCTCTGATACAGTGCAGCTGTATAGTCTGGTATCAGACTTCCGTAAAAACAGATAAATTATTAGTGAGCAGCACCTGGGCCCTCCACCCACTGGCTTGAGTTGCATTTAAACATAGGCTCCTGCAGCTGGTCCTTGCCCAAGCTACGTCTCTGGCTATACACCTTGCCAAGCCTAGCCTATTTGATTTCCTGGCCTTATCTTGGACTTGCCTTCTCACTGTGGACTTGGCTGTCAATCACTAGACTATGGTCTGAAACTGTTTACTGCCATCAGACCTGCCATGTTTTTCTTGTTTGGAAACTGCAGGACTGCAACCTTTGTATTAAAGGCCATTGCCAGTCTTGCTGTCATCTTTGGCTTCTGCCTCACTTTGTTTCATGGATCAGACAGCTCTTGTTGTTCCCTGACAGCTGGTATCATTGTAGTTGGACTGATAATATCTCATAGTTTGTATTTTGATCAGACCTATGACTTTTATTAGACCATTGATAAATTCTTAGTGCCACGTATGCGTTTCTTTAGCCCACATAAGTTGCACAGGATATACAGCAGCATATGCTTCCTTTTTGTATATTAGTTCACTAACAAGGTCCCTGCACTGCTAAGCGGGTTTTTATGATGAAATTCTGTCTTCCTAAGCAAGCAGACAACTCACTTCTGAGCTGTTAATAAATTTTCTTTAAAACTCATCCAGCTCTGAATACCTTTCTGTAACATGGCTGCTTCCTGGACTTGCAATTCTTCCTGTTTATTGTCCAAGCTCTGTATTTTAGCATACAGAGACTTGAATAAGCTGAATTATCTCATAGTCATGGTAGCCTAAGTTATACAAATGATCACATTTGTCTTCTCTATCCTTTCTAAACAGCCTGCACCCATCCACAATGACACTCCAATTATGCATACTGTTGCTCTTGAGTCTTCATGACTGTGATTGCCTTGCAATCGACCTGGAATTGCTGTTCTTCCTGGTTTTCCCATTTGCTGCCAAAGCTCTGTGCAAATGTATGTACAAATATTTGAGGAAAGAATGCCCAAAGAGCCTTCTAGTCTCCTTTAATCTGTTCAATGTTTCTCTGGCTGTACAGGGAGTATAGATCCACTTATTCACTATATGAATGGAGAGCAATGTATAGTAACTGGAAGGTCAGATAAAACCTGGCAATCTTTTCTTCAGCATTTCAGATTTACGCTGCAGGAAAGCATCAAAATTCCTGGGGTGATAGGTCGTTATGGAAAATGTCAGCCTTTGTCCTGTCAAGAAAGAAAACTTCAGCCGCTTGCACTTATTGCTTCCTGTTGAATAGTGTTGCTTTTTATCCAGAGACTCAAGATGCTCAGCCCAGACTCTTCTCTCAATGGAACATTTTTTCTCTCTCCTCTGTTCCAGGGCTCTGAACCTACTCTTCAGAGGAACAGCCGCAGACAGACACCATTGCTGGGAGCCTGTGTCTTCTTGATGCTTCTGTCTTCTTCTGGTCACACCAAACTTCTCAGCCTTGAAGAGTTTGGCTCTTGTTCCCACAGAGTCTCTGCAAAGATCTTGTCAATTGCTTGTTCACTAACCTTGATGCAACAAAGCTCCTGCACCTGGCACTGCAAGAAGTCTACCAGAGCCCACATCTAATTGGTGAGGTCACCCTTGCCATTCATGGCACAGTGCCAGAGAGAAATATTGAGAACTCCTGACAGCCTCACACCAGGGTTGGAGCATCCACCCTCAGGATTTCCATGTGGATAGAGGCCGTCTAAAAGTAACAATTGCACCATCCAGGTCCTGAAAGCAGCTTTTGTGGTGTGTTGTCAACATTTATGCATCCTTTTCTACTATGAGCAGCACTTTTGAGCCCTCTGTATGTGCACTGAATGCCAACTGAGCATCAACCGCCCTGTTACTGTGTGCAGATCCAGTCTGCAATGCTCCTTGTCACTTAAGGATGCCCAGATCCCAGATAAGCAAGAAGCTGGACGTTACTGTTCCCCTCTCTACCTGCTGGTCAGCAGGTAGACTCTGGCTCTCTCCCTGAGATCCTGGACATGATTTACTTAGCCTGTACACATGCATGTTGTTGCTTCTTTCACTGATGTCCAGAAGAGTACTTCAACAGAAACTCAGAAGTGGTCTAATCCTTTACGAATTGAACTCTATTTTGTGATGCATCATGAGTGAAAATATTTCAGTGGTTAAACATGAGAAATTGCATTAAACTCTGCCAAAAAACCCACCTTGATCGGCAAAAGAATAGAGCATTCAGTCATGAGAATAAAATTATCTTGACTAGGCACTATTTAAGTAAAACAATCTCCAATATCCCTCATATATTAACTGTATATACAGCCAGAGCTGTATTTCTGTCTTTCCAATTCATATCTCAGAAGGTGTAATTAAAAAGCATGAGTTACTTGTAACAATTAAACATTAATGTACATTTTTTTAAAAGTCATGTTTCTTCACTTAGTCTATGTGTCACAAACCCCAAATCATAGCATGAATGTGTAAACTTGGCTTAAAACTTACCTTTGCACAGGTTTGATTTTGCTCTTCTCCTATGTTTCCCTATCCATGGGGTCCATGTCAGGGGCCATTGGAAGGTATCTCTTAAATTTTTGTTATATGTAGATGCCAGAAAATGCTTTGGCACCTGTTTTCTGATGCTACATGTTATGTTGGAGTAGGTGGAGACTCAGAACCTTCAGAGTGAAGCTCTCTGCTTCAGTCAGAGCAAAATTTACTTTTTCACTGAGTAAAATCTGGGACTTCAAACCTGAGTTCTGCCATATTTGTGAAATCTCAGTACAGATAGTGACTTGGCGATCTTTGATAATTCTGGATCTTATATTATTTTTTAAAGTATGTTTGAAAATACTGCCAAAACATACTTGCTTGGAATGTCAAATTGAAAAAAAAACTCTAGTGTTTTGCCCTTATTGACTTCTTTAGCTATCCATAATATGACAAAATAATATAAAATATTTTGGAAAATAACTGAGGAACAAAACCAGAGCAAAACATTAGTTATTTGGCTTAGACATATAGCTCCCAAAATACACCCCAGGAATCTCCTATAGCCTCAATGCCACAGTGAAGCCCACAGCCAGCAGCCATTTGTGTAATTTCTTAGCCCACACAGCACGGTCTACAGAGCTTCACAGGGTAGACTTGAACAACACACAATATGTCTGTTGCCAGGAAATGGAATGCAGCAAATGCAATCATATCCCACTCATACTTTTAATGCAAACCAAGGAATTTAGGTTCCTCCTCCCACCCCAAAAAAATCCCAAACCCCTGTACCTGTCAGCATGACATCTACCAGCACATTTTCAGGAGTTGGATTTCTGAAGGATATGATGACAGCAGAATGCTGGCCAATGCATGCACTTATGCTGGTTGGTTCCATCATCTGAGGAGGAAGACCAGTCCCCGAAAGATAAAATATCCACTCTTTAAGCTGTAGATAAAACATGTCATTATTTAGTATTTGACAAGTCAGATATTTGTACATTTTAAGGCGTTTTACCTACTTCTTTCATTTAGTGTTCTTTGTCTCTTTTCTGTTGGAAGTGAACTGCTGTTTAACGGTTGCTTTCTTTCTTCCCTCAAGCTGTTATGTTATTCCAAGTATTGCTGTCTGGAAATCAGTAGTTCTAGTTTGGGAGAAGTTCACATCTCCTCACTGCATTTAACTTCTGTGCTGCTCGGAGCACAGAGTATTTCACTTCCATGTAGCTACTCAGAGCTTCCAATGTAATAAATGTAAAGACATAGGAGGGCAAGTCAAAGCACATATATTAGAACCTGAAAGCAGATGGAGTGAGAGAAGTCCTCTTGAGAAGACAAAAGAAGAAGACAAATAATTATTTGATGGGACAGCAGTAAAATCACCCCAAAAGCCAAAACTGTAATTCCAAAGAAAGACTGTTAACAGCTATACACAGAAGACTCAGAAAGTTTGAAAAGAACTAGTCGATATAGAGTATCACAGCAGAGCAGAAAAAAAAGAAAATATAGATAATTAAACTGATGTGTTAATTTTGATCAATTTTTCAGCATGAGAGTAAAGAGTTGCCTTCTCCACATTTACTCTTTTAAGGTTATAAAGAGTGATGTTAATAATGTCACCCATTATAGAACCTTAAAAGGTGAATAAGCAGCAAAGGTGAATAGTAAATGAAAAGATACTACCATTAATTTAAGAAAAATGTTTAACTGGAAAATTCAGGTTGCTGTGTTTAAATTAAATAATAACCATACAGACTAAAATCTGAGGCTTATTACAAACTGTTCTAAGTGACCCTTTGATCTGTTGTGTTCATTATCACTCATAAAGGTATGCATCAGAAAGAGAATAGGAAATAATAAATAAAACCAAAACACTATTGTCGTTATCTGAAATACTGCATTTACTTCTGCATATCCTGTCTGAAAAAATAAGGAAAATTTATAACAGACAGGGTTCAAAAATCTAACAACAAATCTGGATATACTGTAAAAGTTGACTAATCTATTGCAACTTCTCAGTATAAACAGGGATAAATAAAATAGGACATCATATGTCTTCAGAAAACAGCTTTGGACAGCAAAATTGCATGTCTTTATTACTATTTTATAGAGAAACATTCAATACAACAAGGAAAAATAAAATTTAATATTAATAAAGGAAAGCTGTTGGTAAAAGTCATCCAAAGCTACAGGATTTTATTAGAATAAAAAAAAAAAAAAAAAAAGAGGAAGAATTGTTTATATACTGATAGAGACTACTCAATACTGAAAGCATAAAAACAGAACCTACGTTTTGTTTAGGTTTTAGACAGTGATTTATGTTGCCTGGTTTGTGGGGACTTCTGTGTTACTCAGACTAATAAGAATTAAAAACTACCTCCCTTTAAAATTGCATTTGATTTGGTTACTGGTGACTTAAACCTGACCTATAGCCTGTTTACGGTTACAGAAGACCATATTGTTAGAAAGCTGGATGTGTCAAGCTATTAGTGTTCTACACTGGCTTGTTATTGACATTTTGTGTTTGCTTACAAACACAGTAACTGTAACCAAAAAAGAATTTTTTTCCAAAACTTTTAATACAGAAGTTGTGAGGTGATACTAGTGTAACAGTGCTTTCCAAGACCAGTGTAAATTCGCGTGAACCAGCTTGTTCATAGCAAGTAATTTTACATCGAGGTACAGTGCAGGGGTGGGAGGAGTGCACATGCTCATATTTTGTGCAGGTGAGATGTAAAGATCAAGTTTGATCTTTATTGCTGAAGGCTCAGGCTCATGGTCTACCAACATTAAAGACTAGCTTCTACTGATTCTTTGTTGCTAACAAGAGACAATTTTGAAACCCATTACTTCAAGCGCTGAGCACCTCTAAAACAACACACTGAAACTTTGTCAAACTGAGCAGCTGAAGAAGTAGCTAAACAAAATTAGAAGTCAGTCTGGAAAATAAAACAGGGCAACCAAAAAAGTCTACAGATCATAGCACAGGCCTGCCTTGCCTGACCTGAAGTTACTGTTCTCCACCAACTCACTATGTGACAGAGCTCAAGATCATGTATACTCAGTGCAAGAAATTAAGAGGAAAAAGACTTCAAAAACCCCAGAAACCTAAGGCAAATAATAAAAAAGACAGGATCTAATATTAGTTTCAGCTTCTCTATAATATTACTACTGTTGAAATCTCTACATTACACCTGGATGCTAGTGATGTGGTAAAATAACAGGATAATGCAGATATAACAGGACTCTGGGTGCGGGTTATGTTCAAGCTGATCTTTCAATTGTGGTGTCCCAACAAACTTAATTTCAGATTTCCACAATTGTAAGAGCTACACTCAGATTCACTTTGCGAAGACCTCTTCATGCAGAAACAGACGAAGCAGGTAATAGACCAGAGCAGTTTCTCTCAGTTAAGTAAAGAAGCACAATCAGAAACAGTTAAGGCTTATCCTACAAGTGCTGTAATTAACTGGTTTTAGATTAGTCAGCTATTCAGCTATCAGATGGCTTAAGTATCCATTCAGATATATTTAATCAGAGAAATCAAGGGAGGGAAATCACTATTGGAGGGGTGAGGGGGGTGTACGTTAAAAGTTGTTTGAGGCATGCACCACTGACAAGAAGCATTCTTCCAGTCTTCATTAGAAAGGGCAGTTATATTCACCATCAGCTATCAGCACAGCAATTAGCTAACTAAATAACCTGAAATTAATTTACTAAGGACTGTAGCAGTGAAAATGAATGAAAATTTACAAAATTCAAAAGATTCAGTCGTTAAAAAGAACCTAAGCACTAAGAAATTACAAAAGCTATACCAATATACTGAAATAGTTAAAGGGGCCTGGACAAAGCAGATAGAAGGATGGGATATCAGCTAAACTTCACTGCAGATAAAAACTTGGAGATTTGTCATTACTTGAAAGGAAATGCACTGGATGACAAGATTTCGGTGGCAGGGCTTAACTTGTTCCTGAAAGGTTTAAACAAATTGTATTGTTTTATTGCTTCTGTATTTGGCAAATAATTTTCTTTTTATTTTTTAAAATATAGATAAGATTTCCATGTACCATTAGGAGCAAGACAAGATAAGGACATTCTATCCTCTTCAACTAGCCTTGCATCTATACTATTCATATGAGAACTGCTGGCTCCTTGTTTTTATCCTTAATAAATATTTAAGAGGGATTCTGAAAATAAATGCTGTGCTAACACCACCTACAAATAACCTGTCTGTTCAACATACATTATCTGGAAAAAAATTGCCACATCACTTCCTTCACTGTTTGTTTTCTTCATATAAAAGAATATTTGCTTAAAACACTACTGAAAACTCCTGGTAGCACTTAACTGGAGTAATTCAGCAGTCTGTTGGGATATCTGAAAGTCCAACATGAATACAGAGAGGAAATTGCATGGAAAGCAAATGCTTCATCCAACCACAGCTCATGTGATGAAATATTATAATTTCCATCATATTACCAGCTTTTATTTCCATTTGTAATTTTCAGTCAACTAGAAGGTCACATTGATGACTCGTGTTTCTGTATTTACTTATTTCTCATTGAAAATCAGGAAAATTCACAGAGAAAAAATGTCAACAATTCTAACATGCTGAAAGTATAAAACATTTTCAAACTAAAAGGAAGAGTTCACTTTTTCAAGTGCGTGACCTTCCAAAATTCAGATCAGACAGAAAAATGAAAAAAAAAATTTGTTCGGGCTTGGGAAAAACATAAAGAAAATTCATTTCAGAGGTAACAATGCTAAGAAGTCCTGGTCTTCTGGTGTTAAAAACAGCAGAACTAATTACCAAGAAAACTAAAATTATTCATTACTTATTCTAGCTCCTAGGCCATTTTAATACTGTAAATAGAATAATTTCTGTGTAAAACTAAGGTTAAAATAAATTATAACTTTTGCACATATTTGCATTTGCTCTTTCATTATATATCCAGCAATTAAATTTCAACTTGACCTTCAGACTGAAACCCTCACTTACATGCTTATTAACAATATTATCTAATCTGAATTCCAAGAGTTGTGGGCAGAAAACACAGCATCATACCTGTGAACACTTGAAGGTTATTGATGCCTTGTGATTGCCTCTTCCAAGGGCAGAGGGACAGAATTGCACTGGTACTTCAGTGGTGGAATGAGGAGGGACAATCAGCTGTACGAACACAAGAAAGTAGCAAAGGGAGGTAAAAATCAATTTTTTGGAGTCTATTTCTGTTTTATGCTTTGTATCGACACAATGTTTATGTGATTAATGAGTTCCACCAGATGCATTCTCTCCTCTCAGCAAGCGCAGGCTGCTAAGGCAGCAAGTGTATTGCAGTAAACAACCCTCGTGGCAGTCACTGCACGTTCACCCCCCAGAAACTACAGAGCTGGTGTTACTGATTGCTTCAAGGACATGGACAGTGGCTCTCACAAATACTATTCAAACATCACTTTGGTGTCTGAGAGTATTGATGACACTAAAAGGTTATCACATTGACCTCCAAAGACACGGACTGGCTTACAAGGGAAATAAACACACGGTAGGTTTTAATAAAGTAGTGCTTCACCTCCCTTCCATGCACGTTTATCTTAACTAACATTGTATATGATGTTGCCAGTTTTCTCTTGAGCTGAACTATACTACTTGAGTTTCAACTGCACAGCAAAAAGCAAAGTAGCTGACTACAACGAGAATCATAGAATCATTAAGGTTGGAAAAGACCTCAAGGATCACCACCAAGTCCAACCATCAACCCACACCGCCTAACTCACTAAACCATGTCCCTAAGAACCACATCTACACATTTCTTGAACGTGTCGCCCACACTTCACAATCTTGTACATCCCGTAGGTGGGTGATAACTTGAAAGCTTATTTGCCACCAGCAGACAGCTGCCACCACCAGCCAGTTGCCACCACCCCACGCTTGTCATTGTTGCAAGGCTTCTGTATTACCCAGAATAACAGACTTGAGGGAGAGTCACGTCCCACAAACCACCTCCATCCCCATCTGCACCACTGCCCAGAGATCATTTAGCTGTTCATCATCTAAAAGGAGCCCGAACAGCTCATTTCTCAGTGAGTTCCTGGGCATGCTCAGTATCCAGAAACCTTTTTTCAAGATGTAAAATTTTTACTTTCATCTATAATCCAATTCCTACCTACTTCGGCAAACCAGCCAGCCCCATTTATCAAATGCAGACTTACAAATGGAGAAAGAACATTAATGATTACCCCCTCACAAATACTTTTTAAGGAAAATAATAGCAAGGTAAGAACACGTTGTGACAGCATAAGAATATTACAATTTAAACATTTCTAGTAATTTCACTGATATTTACATTATTTAGAGTAATAACTGTCCCACATAGATTAAAACATATTAGAATTCAATTTTCTATAAGCATTAGTTGACATATCATTGAACAGAAAATGCATGCCACAATGAATCTAAATAATCAACACAGAATTATAAAGCAGAAGACTGCCTGCTCTGAAAGCAGAAATTTTTTTTTTTACATTATAGATCTGTTCTAAAAAATAATTTTATATTGCACAGTATGATGTACTACTGCATCCAGAAAGTAGTTTGTTTTGAAACACAGAGCTGGGTAAAAAAAAAAAACAACAACAACAAAAACCAACTTACTTTCTACCAAAAAAAAAAAAGAATAAATTGCTTCAAAAACAAAAATTGAGAAATAATGCTAACAACATAATTAAAGAAGGTCATACTTCACCATAATAAGATATGCTGAAGTTAACTAATCCCCTACCTTTCATTTTGTTTATATAAACAAGTGTCTTCAAATATAATCATGTGAAACCCGGGTCATTCTATGATTCTATGATTCTATGAAAGGCAACTGGTATTATTGCTCTTCATAAGATCTCAAATATAACTTTTCAAATACAGAAACTAAGACTAAATAAGACTGAGCAACTCTACATGCATTATTCTTGTTATAAATCCAACACGAGGGAAATTTTTCATTAAATCTAAAAGTTTATTCACTACTCCATACAAAACAATACTCTCAGTCATTACTAAACAAACAAGCTTGCACAGAGACTTTAAGACTGCACTCCTCTCTGACAGCCCTTCTTTATTAATTTATTTTTCCTCAATATTTCTGTTTCTTAGCCAATCAGGATAGAAGACAGCGTTATGAAAAAGGTTTAGGCTAGTTACAAGCCAGGAGAATAGCAAGCTGAGGACTTACAGTGAACGTGTTTATTTTTGTCAATATAGATGATCCCATTTGTAGGAGTTTATTGTACATTTAAGGTACATCATAAATATATGTGTGTATAAATATAATACATACACATGTGAAATCTGTCCATGTCTTTATATAAAGAGAAGGAGTAAGTTGGGGAACATAGCATTACTGATTGAGAATTTTCACCTGTTAAATGCCAGGCATGAATCTTCTACTAGAGACAAAGACAGCTGTGGTTAGGAAAGAAATACAAAACTCAGCATCCCAAAGGCTGTTCCTCCAGTAACTCACAGTTCCCAACATGCTAATGAAAAATAAGTTAGGAATTCTGCAGCAAACTTACAGGAGTTCACTTCTGTTCCAACTTTTATAGAATTTGTCATCATTTATAAAGATGTTAAGTTAACATATACAGTGTAAGGCTGACAAGAAGGAAAACAAAAGCTAGGTGTAGCTCAGTAAAAAAAAACAAAACAAACGAAAAAAAAAACCCAAACCCAAACAAACAGAAAAAATATTTGAAAATCAAAATCACACTGAAAGGAAATCCTTTAAAACTTTTAGCAAATTATTGAAAGAAAAACAAGATATATTACATTTAAAGTTGTTTTAGGGTACAACTGCAAAGCTGCTAACATACATATACTTTTCTCATTTTCATCAGTTTACAAAAAAGTTAATGGAGCTGCTTCTAATTTACATGAAGCTGACGAGATTTAATGCATCTGAATTTCATTTAGACTTCATTAAGCACCCAGAAGTTCAGGAATACTTGAGCATAATTCAACTGGACCTCAGGAAAACCTATTATTAATGATGTCAGTACTTGAAGCTGAATCAGATCTATAGAAGATAATCCCTTGTGGTATTTCCGTAATGCCTTCTGTTGCAAACTGAAACTGGAAAGGTAGGCACACACGTGGGAGTATTTTTTTAAAAAATTCTGAAATATTAATCAAAAGTTTGGTTAACATTTGATGCAATTAATCTCCAGGAAAGATTAAATTTTCCCTGATATCTCTGTTGAATCTGTTTTATCTAACATAACTGAGTGGATGGTAAAATCAATTTGAGATATTTTCTGACTGATAGCCCAATATTTTCAACAGTTACACATCTTAGATGACATAAAACCAAATATAGATAATTACATGAAATGCTAAAATTACAGATTTAGAATATGCAGGATTTTAAAATTACTAATTCGCTTCAAACATTACCTATCTTAATTGGACAGTCCCATCTTTGATCAATTGTTCCTCGTTGTATTTCATCTGGGGATGCCTCAAATTAGCTTAGCCTCAGAAATTTTCTGCTTACAAGAAAGCATTATTTGCTTTAAAGAGAGCAGAAACTTGAACAATTAAGATAGGAAACTTCTTCCACACATCACAAAGACATTGAAAAAGGCATTAATATAAACTAATAACTGAAACACAGGTTACAGTTTATAAGAACAAGAAGCAATCTTCTGGAAGCCAAAGGCAGTTCTGTATGGAGGGACTAAACCTAGGATGTAACACATTCAGGAGAAGAGCAGGTATTTAAATTCCCCCCCACTGCCCTTGTCGTCAAAACTGTGAAGGAAACCTGATTAACCCTCCAAACATGGGTCTGCAATGGAAGACACAAGTTCAAAAAAGGGACAGATACATGAAATAAAAGTCATCTAGTTGCTTATAGCAAATTCAACAAAGCTATTCTTAAACTGGAAGAACTACTATAGTTCACAAAGAACATTCCACAATTCAATGCATAAATGCTGTTCAGGACTGAGTATCCTATTAAGAAGAAAAGAAAGAAAGAAAGAAAGAAAGAAAGAAAGAAAGAAAGAAAGAAAGAAAGACCAATTGATGAAAGGATTAGTAAGCACTTGTTGAGTTTTAACGTAATGCATGAAGATGTGTTAATATGCAAGATATAAAAGACAGACTAGAATAAACAGATTTTATACTTTCAATTTAATGTAATACTATGTATGCAAAAATATAGGGCAATTCAGTAAATAAATATGATCTCCTTTAGCCGTTATCTTTAGAACATTTGGTCTTGTGCTGCTATATTCGAGGCTGAATGCTGTTTAGTTTCTGAAAGCCAAAACCACATATATTATGACTTTATGACATTACTCTATTGTCCCCACACAATCTATTTTCTACCTTCTCAGCTTTATTTTAGGATCTTATTACAAGATTCCTCTCTTCTCCCTCTGACCCTTATGCCAGTTTGCACAAATAAACCAGCTCTGGTGTATGTTTTCCCTGCATTATCTTCTTCGTGCTAGAAAAGGTGCAATCACCATTTCTTTCCTGTCTGCAGCAGGTTTCTTCCTTTTCCTTTTTCACATTAAAGGTTTTATATTCACATCCTAAAAAGAGATCCCCCTAACCCCTTGCAACAGAGTTTCCATGCATCTGTCCTCCCTTTTCTCATCTCCCCATCACACAAAGGACACATATTTAATAGCATTAATTGTTAATAACATCCAAAGAGTTCTTTATAGGAACTGTACTATTAACCAGTAATCAATAGTCAAGAATGAGTATTCTTCAGGGTCCTGACCATCTAGAACTCTACTCAATCACAATGAAAATACAAAAGCTGAGCCCAACTATACAACCCTCAGTCCTTGAAAGAACAAAATATGTCAGGCAGCAAGACGGAAGGGCTTCTGTGATGGAGGAGGAAAAAATGGTGTACATAACAGTAACAGGATAAAGATTTTCTCAGGAGAAAACAGCCTCAGGGCAAATGTGAGTTTGGAGAATAAAATTATTCCAGGACCGCACCTGGAGTACTGTCTTCAGATGTGGGGCCCCCAACATAAAAAAGAGATGGACCTGTTGGAGAGAGTCCAGAGGAGAGACACGAAATTGGTCAGAGGGCTGGAGCACCTCTCCTATGAGGACAGGATGAAAATGTGGATTCTGTTCTCTAGAATACAGACTTATAACACCTTTAGCCTGGGAGACTATGTTGTGTATTCTGAATCCACAGTATGATACACAATTCAATACATTTTGAAGAGAAGGCTCTCTTGCACCACTTTTGTGAAAGCACAGAAAACTTACTTACAGGGTGTTTTGGATCAGTCTCAGTTGAAAAATTGCTAGGATTGCTGTTAACAATTTCTAGCTCCAGAGTTTCATGTGTAGAATTAAAGAGAGGGATGTGTAGACGAGCCCACCTGAAAAAAATACATATATGCAATTCCTATTAATTACTAAGCTTCTCCCATTGCATTTTATTATTCATGTTTTCTTTCTTGAAAAAGAGTACTTTTAAAAACAATAATTATGGTTTTTTGCATTAGTATTTTTCTGCTAGTATGGACATACTTAATAACATTAATTAATATTATTAATAACAGTAAAAAGTGGTAGCAATAACCATTACAATACTTGCATCATTCATAAGGGCAGAATATGTCTCACTGTACTTCAGTTGTCAGGAGATAAGTTTAAGTTAGTTGGTTAAAGGGACTGTCTAGCTCCCTCAATACTCAACAAGGAGAAAAATATTTTCAGGCAGAATTGGTCCTAATGTAGATCGCCAAGATGTGGAACCACTTTTCATTGTCTACAGTAGAAGCCTAAGTTTAATTCCTTAAACTTGATGCCTAACTTTTAGATAGGAGGACGTGGTAATGAATCCTAGTGTCTCCAATACCACAGCTTCACATTTATTCCTAGCCTCCAATCTGCAAATTTATGTTTCACCTTTCTTTGCCTACTTTCTCTAGATCTAACTCTGGAATAAAACATTTTAGTCAAATAGATAATTCAGAGTGCCAACGCCAACAAAAAAGTTCTGTTCCAAAAAGTAAAATAATTGTGTCTTATTATTCTGTAGTCTATCCATGGACTCATAGACTGCCTCAGGTTAAGCATCGGACAGAAATTAAAGGTAATCAGGTAAACGATAGCTGTAACTCCTTCTTATCTAAGCAATGGTTTACATAAGCTTATAATTAAATGGTGTTGCCAACAGCTTTTGATTTGCCAGATAACCATTCCTCTTGAACATCTTGTAACCTTGAGATCTCAAAACAGAGTGTTCCACACCAGCTGTTTAAGTGGAGGTTCTGCCTGCTTTCCTCCTCTTTCTTTATCTATGTGAACTCAAAATCTGTTTAATGTTGCAGAGTTTTTGCACTGTTCATTATAACATAATGGTAAATTGTTATGTTGCACATGCAGATTATGTATTTTAATGAATATTTTGGCTGTCCCAGAACAAAGATTGGAGTATGCTGATTGCCCGAATGTTATACTTTAAATCAGCTGGCACTCTATTTTACAGACTGTCTATCTTCTAATTAAAGAATAAACAAACACAAGATACTTTCAATAAGGAGCACAATTTTCAAAAGAAGTCATAAGACTCCCAAAAATTCATCTATTCTGATCAAAATAATATATTATTTGCTTTTAACAAATATATATGGCCATAAATCATATTCTCATTATAACACCTAGGGACAGAGAAAAGATATTCAAGGTGAATCTGTGAAAACAGTAAATAAGAAAAGTTTGAAAAATGAGATACATATATTGGTTTTGCTGTAATTTATCTACTTAATGGATATTCCCTCTAGTCAAAGCTATGGCAGGTCAACTGTCAGATTGCTCCACATATTTATCCTCTGGAAAAAAAAATAGTCAGTTAATCATAGCTAAATCAGTAAGGAAAAGGAAAATATAAAAAATGACATACAGAAGAGAAGGCATTTCAGTCAAGCTTTATGACTGTAACTTCAGACCCTGAAACCTGTGTGCAGGTGGGCTCCTGTTAGAATTTGTTCTTTTCTCTGTCAAGAATTGATTAGAAATGGATTCTAAGTGTATCAACGGGTTTGTGGCTCCTAATTCAGTTCCAGCTGATGTTTCAAAGGCACAAATTCTTAAATATTTCAGATTGATAGCAAGAAGAATGTGCCAAGCACATAAAGAAAAACATTATTTTCAGAAGGGTATCACATATAATAATGCTTCTTCCACAATCAAGGAAAAAGTGGTAGGAGTCTCTGAAAGAACTACAAAGGTTCACCAACCAGAAATGCTTCAAACATTTTATGACGTTTACAGTCCATGTCTCTCAGAAGACAGCAAGGAAGTACACCCATTCAAAACAAAACAAACTGATACCTTTGTCAAGCAGACAACACATAAATGTCTACTTGCATTTCCTTTACATATTCACTACACATTAATGCATCCAATTTACTTGGACTACCTCATATTTTCAGCAAGTAGAGCAATGCTCAGTAATTTAACTGTAACATCAATGCCATCATCGATTGCCATTGTCCAAAATTTTGTCCCTCAAGAAAAGGACAATATGCTGATGACACAACAGAAATAAATTTCTGGAAAAAGGAGAGTGTTGAAGGAAATAACTGAACAAAAAGCAGGAGACTTTATGAAACTAAAAATAAGGCAGATTGACAAACTTCTTCCCTTTCTGTTTGCACTTTTTTGTTATACTGTTTTATAATATATATAAAAAGATATATGAAAAGGATTAGCCTTAATTTACTGTTATATACTATTGTTATTGCTGCTGTTGCTAATAGTTAAACTAACTAGTACTTCTTTGGTCTTCCACCCTTACCCGCCCAGGGAAGATGTAGATCTGTTCATTTGCACAGGTAGTGCATGTTAGAGAAAAATTATGAATGCCAGATAGACTGAATTAAAAAGTTTTAAGTTATATTTAACTCCTTACTGTGTCAGCCTACATAGAGAAAAATTACAGGTTTTACTCCAGTCAGCCCAGAATTTTTAAGTAAAAAACAGGAAACAGACAGCCCTACTGATTTTCTTAGACAAACATAGTAACAAAGGCATTGCCAGTTATCTCTGATCTGTGAATCATGTACGAAGAGCAGAATACATTCACTTACAAAAATTTAATCAGTAAAACCCCACGTTGTGCCCTCTAACATTTTTTTGCTCAGTCTGTAATGTATAGTAACTAGATTTAGTCAAACAAGTGGAATTCAGCATTTAGAAGAGTAGCGCGTCCACAGAACCTGCTGCTAAGCAAAAGCAATAGGTGGAAGAGCACTACTGAAATTCCGGCATTCTTGAAAGTCTTATCCCAAAAGTTTTGATTTCTGTCTCAAAAGTCAGAACTGAAAATTGTGCTATTGAAACACAAGATGAAACTTTGTTGAAGGAAGACAAGAAATGGGTTCATTTCTCTGTCTGCTCTAAGTAGCCCATTTTCTTAACACTTGAAGTGCTTCATCCATGTCTATGCCCAGGATCTGCAAGACAGAAGTTTTATTACTTTGCCATTTCTTGAGAGGTTAAAATAAGTTGATAACTGGTATACAAGCATTTGTAAAGCAGGACTGTCAGATATACTCCTATTTCAGAAAGATTTAAAAAAACAAACAAACAAACAAACAAAAAAGACCCCAGAAAATAAACCTACAGAAAACTCTATTATGGATCTTTATTATAACATTCTGCAGTATTTTCAGGTGATTTCATAGGAAGTCTACATATAGGCTAAAATTCCATTTCAATTGTTTTTTCTGCAAGGAGAATTTCAGCTATCTACACACATATCTATGAAAACTATTTGCAAACTACTATAGTACACTTATATTTTCCATGATATGGACTTATGTTTTCCATGATATTTCAAGCCAGCGACCGAGTTCAGCACTATGAACTGCATACTTACTTTCCAAGTTCGCACTGTATTTCAGGTAGAGTAGTTGGCAATGGTTTCTCTGCAATCAACTTCAGTGCATACCAAAACTCTCCAACCACATCTGACACAAATATGACACTAAAAACAGATACGTAAGCTTAATATGACTCAGCTTTTGTACAGACAACTAAAAATGTACAGATAAAAATTAAGGGAAAACGAAATGACTTCAACACAATAAGTTCTTCAATTAGCTACCAGTTTTCCTGGAACACTTCTTGACGGTATCTGAATTCAACTACCAAATCTAATATCTACATTTACTGATACAACAAAACCTCCTTCATCTTTCTTAACTTTTTGACATAAAAAGTTGTTTGTTGGGGTTTTTTTGGTTTTTTGTTTGTTTGTTTTCAAAAATAAAACTCAAAAGCTTTTCAACTGCTAACTTACAAGAGTAAACATAAATGTCATTTCAATGACACAGTACTTTCTTTCTAGCCATTTTGAACTCAAAGGACAAAATAGAAACAGTATTCACTGATTTTAAAAAAGAAACCTTTTTCAAATCTAGTGATGAAAACAGAGGAATAGATATAGACACATTTATATGAGCATGACAAACAGATATCCTTCAAAAGAATATTCAATATACTGCTTTGATACACAATCAAATGTTGTCATTACTGAAAATTGCTTGCTGCTAGGTGAGATACATACAGCAGAATATTTCTGTGACAGACATTCTAACACATTCCTTTCCTATTGCAGATTTCTTTTTTCTGTTTCTTGGGGTTTCGAGTAGCAGAGTCAGAATAACATTAAACCAAAGCGCTGTAGGTATATAAAAATGTACATGAAATGCACGATACAAACTCATGACCCCCTAAGGACCAGTTCTTGTCCCATATGATAGATAACTATGCCTGTTCCATGACTTTATGGTTCCAGACTATCCTCCGTGCCAACAGAGACTTTAAAGTGAGCATAAAACAGCTTAGGAAAGAATCATCCATCTGAAAAGGTACACCTGCCACAAACACCTTTATAACACTTTTTCCCAGTTGCTACCACAGCAAAGGAAACAGAGCATGGCTTCATGAAAAGAGATAATAGTGTAGATGTAATGTGGAAGTACTTCTGTCCAGCTGCAATTGTAGTCCTTGAGAGTTACTGAAATTTAAAGCATCTGTTAGACAGCTTTCCAGTATAGTACTGCATACTTATACTGAATATCTACAGATGTGCTTTATGTCATCTTTGCATATATTCCCCTAAGTCCCAACCTACCGTTCAGCTGAGCCCAAAGTTTTGCCAGTTAAAACAAACCTTTATTTTATTATTTGGAAATTCTGCACTCAAAAAATACCAGAAACATTATCTGATATGAAAAAAAATAGGTCTATTCTCATTCACAGCTTCTGAGTGCATAATTTCTACAAATTTCCACTGAAAAAATATTTTACAGAGTGACAGAAGTATTCTTTTTTATAAAACAGTATCACTTGATCACTTGAACACTGTATTGTACAATGATACCTGTCATTCTCATCTTAGGAAAAATCAGTACCAGCAAATTGAACAAAACTTTGAAATACAAAGATTATGGCTTTGTAAAAATCGGGGGTTTGAATACAGGTCACGGATGTCTGCTCTCATCATACAACACCACCCACCCTCCTCCCCATGCTCATACTTTTGCCAATCAATTGATATCATTGAAAAATAGGGAATTGTTTTTCAATCAGCCCTTCAACCAAATAATGCTTTTGTAACCGAACTTCAGGAAAATAGGCTTTGCAATCCTGCACTCTTCAGTTACTTGCTGAACTGGTTTAGATGAAACTAAGACTACGAGGTCATCTGTCTTTGTATTGGTTATTATCATACTCGCAGTTTTGTTGGGATTTTCAATGTAATGAAAAACTTGTAATTTAAAACCTCTCCATATTCATTTAGTAGATCATTGTTAATTCAGAGAAGATTTTGAAGGTAAATGGATTTATGTGAAGACCGTTAGAGGGTTCTTCACCCGGTTTAAGTTACATTGTTATAGTTTTGTTCATTCTCAGAATCAAAATTAAATCATGTTATTCCCTTTATGGAACTTAAAAATTTGCAAAACTAACAGCTCATTTGAAGTTTTCAGAGGCGATTTCTAATGTTATATACATTTCTAAAATATTTTTCACTCAATTCTGGTTAACTAGGATAACTATGGGTTATTATACTGCCTGTCAGTCAGGTTTTTCCCCTCAGACAAAAGCTGTTGTCTGGGATATAATATAGATAAAGTTGGGAAATTTTTAAATTCCATTTATTACCTTTTGTTGGTTTTTTAGGGCAAAAGCTACATCAAGTGACCAAGTTTTCAATGCAAGTAGTTCACTTATTAGTACAAGAGCCACAACCACAATTATCAAAACTCTACAATTTACCTTGCATCTGAAGTGCCAACAACAGCTGGGGAAAACTTCAGTTGGTATAAAAATGTTTGTTTGGGCTTAACAGTGAAAGATTTTTGTCCATAAAGTGATGGATTCTCCAGCACCACACTCAGCTGGAGACTTTTATCTGCAGGATTAGTGATGGGAATATCAATTCCAGCAGTATCCTAGGGAAAAAAAAAAAAAACCACCCACAAAATTAATTATAAGCCATTACATTTAAAGATCTTTCTCAAACAAATGTAAGATGCTTACTCATTACACTTACATGAATACAGGCTGCACCTTTTTTTGATGCATGGACTAACCCAAAGAAGAGAAGTTGCGGCAAGAGACATTTCAGCCAAAATTCAAATTGTAAACTCTTTAATTCCACAAAAAAGGAAAAGTTCAAGTCTTCACGGCCAGTCTGCATTCTAACAAGCTACTCCACCTTTCAAGATATGGCTGAGGCTTGCCAAAACACACTTTGAGGCAGATCTGCTGTAGTCTCAACCAGGAAAACCCTCCAAGCCATCTCCCAGCAGCCAAGCAGAGACAGTTAAAAATGTGCACTTTGCAAACTGGCAAGTGACTCAAGCCGAATTCTGCAGGATTTGTTCCTCTTAATTTTTAAGTTACATCATAATACTTGACATTAAAACACCAACACTACAATAAACATTCCCTCTCTCATTCCTTTCTGCCATTTCCCTTAATAGTGGTCTCCATATATTTCTGTTTAAATTCTATGAAGGACTATCTTTTCTTGACAACCTGGAAAACACAGCTACTATTAAAGATGCATATTAAATTGCAGTTACTATAATAAAAGGGAGACAAACTATGACCTGATTAGATAAATATGCATGTTTTACATGTGGAACACCTTTCAGATGAGCAGAGGTGGCTCACTCTGCACAGATGCTACATTGCATTCTTGAGCTGCTCTTGAAACATGGTTAGATATCAGCAGGGTTCCAGTGACCCCCTTCTCTGTAAGGTTAAAAATAGTGTAAATCCATCCTATGTACCCTATGTGTATAAATATGAATGCACTTTATGAAATGAAACGCTTTAAACAGACAGGAAGGAATATACTAATGAAGGAAGTGCATCACAATTCAGGATGCATACCTGGAGTACAAAATACATATATCCTATTCATATATGTTCATCTATATAAAACATGAAAAATTCAAACCCAAATATATATATATTTATTTCACTGTATCTATATTTACCTCTATCCCTATTTTTCTATCTTTCCTTTGCTCTAATCAAGCAGTTTCTTTCAAAATGCAGGGTTGGTTTTTTTTTAAACATATAGTAATTTGGTTCTCACAGCAAAATTTTGCCATATACTTTTATTTTGTGAAAAGTAAATAATTCAAATTGCAAAACAAAAGGAGAAAAAGATAAAATGTCTATTAAAATTAATAATATACTAAAAACTGCACAAGAAATACTTTACAACCCAACACACATCTGCCTCACTGTGCTTTGGGACTGCTTATGATTTGGTAAATTTCTATAAATTTACATTTATAGAAAATAACTACTGGAACACACATAAAACACATTTAACGTTCTACAGCTGGCAAGATTACACCAAAAATTTAAATCATTCAAGTGCCTTGTATCAGTAAGATGGGATTTAAATTGGCCATAAAATATTTTAAAGCTCAGATTAATAGCTTTTACTGGTATAAACAAACTTATAAATGTATCTACCATTTTATTGCTAAAGGTTTCATTACAATTTTATAGTAAAACATCTACATGCTGTGTTGAAGAAATATTTTTACGGTGAAAAAGAAATATTGGACTGCTTATTAGGAAAAAAGCAGCAACTATCAAAGAAACCTTTGTAAGCTTGTACACAAAGGAGATTCTCTATTGCCAACATTAGCTTAACGTAAAACAGTGTTCTCTTGACAGTATACAATGAATGCATAGCATTATGTATCTCCCTGGAATTTCCCAGGAAATTTCCCTGGAATTGCTATATACATTTCAAAGATCTGCTGCTTCATGGATGGTAATAAGAGCAGATGTATATTTATCAACTGAATGTACATGTATAGTACATTTCTAGGCCTTAATGGTTTGTTATGGAAGAACAGTACTAGGATAAACAATAAAACATCCATGCAATTGCTAAACAGTACTAGGATAAACAATAAAACATCCATGCAATTGCTAAGAGCATTATTTTTCCTGAAAGTACCATCAGAAAGAACGCAAAGGAGTAACATCATAGGCAAATTCCAAATGCATTTGTAGTCATTAATTTAGATACACATTTCAGTACTGTATTTTTAGAAACATTTTGACAGAGGAAAAATGTAAATGTGTAAAAAAGAAGAGAATTAATCCCATTCCTCAAACTGTTTCTTGTACCAAGACTGTTAGTGGCCAAGACAGAGACATTCTGGTACAATATATCATGCTTTTATTCCTTTAGAACCTGCTGTGATACACTTCTTGTCCAGTGCAGGTCATTTATAAGATAGCATTTATTCCCTGTGGAACTTGAAAAAAAAAATTGACCATTTACACTTTATCCTGCACTGATAGCCTGAGCTTATGCATAGGTGTAATACTCTGTTATCAAGATTTTGCTTCAAAATATACTCATCATCATCACTTGATCATTTGTGATATTATAGTTGTTTGCTGAAATATTTTCCTGACATATTTTATACTAAAGATTTTCTCATCATCCCAATTCTCTATATCCTTCTTTTAGCAACTGGACCTAAAGGATTTAAGTCCAAAATATGTAATTTTACATTTTATGAATGTATACACTGCACTGAACTACGAACTAACCCCCCTCTAACTTTGACAAGGTAGTTTATAGGAAGATGGACCCAGTCTAAAATTACTGTGCATAGTCATCTTCTTTGTGTTCAAACTCCAGTAATAATCCTATTCTAACAATTATCAGGTGTCAATAAAAGCACTATCTGGCCAAAGTTTCTAAGAGATAACTACACTTCTTAATGCTTTAGAATAACTGTTTTCAATTAAAATCCTTTTTCATTAAGGAGAATACATTAACTCCACATTTGTTTAAGGCCTTCCCAGTACATGGACCTTGAAGAAAAAAGCATTTGTACTTGCTCACAAGTTTTCCAGGTTATTGCTATAGAAGCAAGTTTTCAAGTCAGGTAAGTGGTAAGAATATTATTTTGATAATCCTAGTGAGATAAAGCAGAAGAAATTCTTCCCTTTCTAGATCCTTGTCCAAATCATTATTTTAGACTGACAAATAACAAGTGCCTTCTTTCTCTGTGCCGCACCTAATGACAAGCAGGAACGTTGCTTACTCAAAGATCGAACTTGCAATGGTCGCAATGCCCTTGAAGAAATAGATCTTGGCCTTCTAACTACCCCAGCTCAAAATGATCAGAGCTTTCAATGTCACCATCAGCGTGTCTATATGTCAGTGGTAGGAGTTAAGCTAGAGTCTCCTTTTGTATCCTTTTGTATTGTTATCCATTTCCTTTTCTTGGAACAAAAGAGGCTCAAGCGAGTGGCTCAGCAGAGTCCACTACAGAGTTTCAGGGCCATGCTGAGCACAGTTCAGCCTAGTTTGGTCAAATTAGTGGTAGAAATCAGAGATGGCTCTTGAATTGCTTGACGCAAGCTGATTCCGACACGCATCTCTCCTCATCATTGCTCCTCTCCACACTCACTTCTAATCCAGACCCACAAGTCCACACTCAGCTGCGTCTTTCTCCCATTGATCACGCAGACACATGGAAATCCCAACGTCCTGTGTCTTGTGGGGGTGAGTCCTTGCAGCTTCATAGTCACGTGTTAGTTAATGGAGCAGATCTTTGTGAAATGAATGATCTCCCTCACCACACAATCCCTTTTTTTCTTTTTTCTTTCCCCCTGTCTATGATGTAAACTAACTGCCAAGATAACCCTCTCCTTTCCACATTGGGATATGATGACACAGTATCACAGCATTGCCATACCTTGACACTGTATTTTCCCATTCTACGTGGCATATTTTGCCTTACAAAATATCAGCTTGCAAAAAGGCACCAACAGTTAAGTCTCTATTAGAACAGCAAATTGAACTACTTGAAATCCAGGACTAAACACCTTAAGAAAATTATATATTTGTAAAACTTGCTTAAAAGGAATCCATTCTTATCACTATTACAGTATAAGAAACTAACTAGAAGAAAAAAATGGGCACAGTACATTTAATATCAGAGGCTAGTAGTGCAATGAATTTCAGGTGTGATTTATGTATAAAAATCACAGCAAATTGTATTTCTTTTAGCTGAAATACGTATTAGTGCCTAAGTAATAATGCCCTAAAACAGAACACAGAGATGATCACTTCATAAGTTATTACAATAATTCTAAGCTCACTGACTAAAAAATACTCCATTGTTGACCTCTTGATAAGGACGAGACATCGTAGTAAGCAAACAAACTGGGAAGACAATGTTTTGCAATAGATGACTGATAAAAATGTCTTTCTCAAATTGAAGGAAAGGAGGGGACTGAAAAAGCATGTTATTATGTAGACTCTGAAGCTGTCTATGACGTCCTCAGCTCCACCAAAAGAAATCATTCACATTGAGAAACCCACACCAAAGTGATATTACAATAATTTGTAACACATATAGGAAAAGCTAATGCACTAAACAATATGCACATATCTGGACTTCCATGCATCCTAGTTTTGTCCATCTGTATGATGTTCCTGGTTTGGTACAGATAGATAGAAGTAATTGCAGGAAAGACTTCAGGTGAATTACAAGAGAAATACTATATTAAGATAATTCTGAAAAACATACCTGACAAGGGGATACAGACTGACTCATAGTCAAATTAAATATCCCAAATTCCCATAACTGAGGAAGTAATAACTATGTTTATATCTTAATGAATATTCCTTTGCATTTGAAATCAAGGCATCTGACTTCATATAGACAGAAGCTCAATAATTCTCCATCCTCCTGAGACCACAGGCAGATTTTCCTTTTCAGATCAAGCAGTGTGAGATGAAGAAAATATCAGTTACAGCTACTTTTCACCAGCCTCTGTACTGAAGGATGGCACTTTCAGCAATCAGCTCAGTTGCCTAAGCCACCATGTACAGTAACCTGGCTTATAAAATCTGAATCAGGTTTCAGAGCACTACTAAAGAAATATA